CGGGTACTCATTGACACTGACTACATACGATTACCTTGTCAGAATCACGTTATGCTGTTGGCGGGCTATCGTATTCCTGCGCCAACACCTACTAGTGTCTTACCCAAAAATACCCTATCATATCAGCCCCCGCCAAAAAACGCTTACACAAAGAACCACCACCTTTGTACCACCTCACCGCCTGCACCCAAACACCAAAAACTGCTTTGGTTCTTTGTCACATCGTGTAACCTCAGCCCACCACTTCGGGTAAGCACCATACAGCACCTAAATATACATGCCTACCTAGGCCTGTGGTGAAAATTTCCGTCGGAAGCGAATTTAAAGCTGCACCCCATAGAAAGAGCGCATGGTCAGTGCGTTTATTGGTTCCAGCACCCGATGTCTTGCATAGCCCTACAACTACATACTGTAGAAGAAGAAAAGAAATTATAGTAATATTTAGGTTTTTTTGGCGTTGGAATCGCACTTTGAACTCTGACGAGAGTAGGCTAGGGCTAAGGCTCATATCAGCCTCTGCAACTGGTCTGGGGCTGTAAGAATTGGCTGTTGGTAGGTAGATAGTACAGCGTGGGTTATGTGCGATACTTCACTGAACGTGCTGGGTATCCGATGTTGCATCATTAGCCTGCAGATACTCGAGCTCACAGGGGAAGGAAGCAATACCTGAGGCGAGTGAATACTTTGCTATGTGGTATATACTTGGATCAATACAAAAAATTAGAAGGAGGTACCATGTGGTGAGATCCCAAGTAAGTAACACGATATGGGTTCTAGAGTACAAAAGATATAGAGAAGATATTAACGCGATTATAGAGCTAAAGATTGATAGAACATACCTCTTAGGTATGAATCCCGATTGCCGACTTTGACGATCAGTCTTGTGGCGAAAATCACGAGAACTTTTGTCACCCCACAATACATTGGTACCGACATGTAGTCCATAGGCACGGAAAGATTCTCGTGCGCTTTTGTGATTATTGTTGGTATAGATGGCTTTTGTGGTTGGTTTGAGACATACATGCAGCCACGAGTTGCACTCTGGCTTACTGTTCCCAGACGAAAAGTTAGTTGCACCCCTCAAAGAACATGCTGGGGCAGTGTAGAAGTCGGAAGAGGCCAATGATCGTGATTCCGAAAAGGAAAAAAAAAAAGCAGCATTCGATCAGACGATCAGCCGCAGCTGGAAAGACTCCAAAAGTCTAAGTTCACTATCACGATAAATACCCCTCGATATCCCACCCTCAATTACCTCTTTCCCTTCCTCATCCACTCGGACATCCAACAGCAAGACTACTACAGCTTCAGTCTACTACTTCTTCTCTCCTCAACCAGACAAGAAAACTTCCTAGTTTCAGATCCTCATCTTCAAATCTTTCAAAATGAAGTTCACCATCTTCGCCGCTGCTCTCGCCCTCTTCAATGGCTTGGTCGCTTCCGCTCCTGTCGCAGATGCAGAGGCAGATGTCCAGCTCGAGGCCCGCCAACAGGCAGTTTACTACCCCAACAACCCGATGACCGTTATTTGGAGCCCAAGCTATGGATACGTCAGCGACAGTTGGGTCTCAATCGGCAGAGTATGTCCCTCTATATTTACATATACCATACAAGCAGTATTCTAACAAACTTACCAATAGTACACCTACCAAGGCGTTCAATATGACACAAACACCCTCCTCAGCTATTCGTTGCCAGACGGCCTTAAGGGCAAAACGTGTCAATTTATCCTCGGCAACGGCTTCTATGCTGGAGGCACCCGCAAAGTCCAGCTCTTTAGCGTCGGCGGCCCTATCAGCACCACAGACACTTTCACCTCCCGCCCCTACCGTAACATCCATTACGGTATTTTCACTATTGCCCCAGATGGTGCGTCGGCCACTTGGGATGCCATCCCGCCACCTAAATTCCCCTGCCCTGAGAAAGCAACTACTCTTGGATACGAGGTTGTGCCCCAGGGCGATGAGGACTGGGCCGGCTGGTACTCTAACAGTGGGCTTGCAATTCAAGTTGTTTAAATGGTTCCAACTTTTGGCGGGTTTTTTTTTAGTTAGTTCTGGTTGTGCTCTCCTCTTCTTTATCTGGAAGGATTTAGTTCTCTTCCATACATTACTCTGGTTCTCTTTTGTCTTCTTTTTTGATTTTTTGAGTTTTTATGGATGGGTTATATATTAGGGGGTGTTGGGTGGGCGGTAGTGCGAGCAATATTATTAGTGTAGCTGAGGATTGGGTTGAGATCTTTTTTTCGGCTCAGGAGGCACTCTATTGGTACTTAATTTTTACAATTTATACTTAGATTAAAACCTGAACCTGATTTTTCCAGAGTGCGAGTGTGAGCGAGCTCTTGAATATTGGCTTGCAATGATCAAAGTGAGGGAACCGGGGGAGGTGCGCTAGCATTCTCCAGCAGTTACAACAGTAGCCTAATGGAGTAGCGAACTACAAAACCCGAATAGGTATTTTCGACGACAACCAACTAATGTGATATAACCTAGTATAACATACAATATAACCTCTGTGTTTTTGAATTTGTCTATTCTATTCTCACGAACATTGGTAACCTCATCAACTATCTCGGGTTCATTTTGATTTCGAGTTTATAGCCTAGCCCAGCTCAAAGTCCAATAATCCGCCCCACATCTTTATGGCCCTTATTTTCAGTGCTGAAGCCTTCGTTAACCCCATACATGAGTCTAGTAGGCAGTGGCATCACCATTCGATCTAACACTGTTCACTAATCAAGTCCCGCCTCCCATGCGACATATCCATCGCGGGTATATCGATCCATGTCACACATGAGAATGCGAGACGCAGAAGTCTATTGTAAGCACGCATGCCCACGATAACAGACCAAAGACACAACTCATAACGAGACTATATTGCCACCGGGTGCAAACTACTTGAATGGGATGACAGATCATCGAACCGTCCGAGTTTTTATCGTCGCACACAAGCAGGGTTAGGTTTCGAATAGGGTTAGGGTTGTTGGAATGCCAAATACAAACGTATCTTACTTGCTTTCCAACCAGTAGGGTGACGGTGCTCAAGAAGATGTGAATTGGATGTTTTTCAGTCGCCGTCTTGGAAGATGGGACCACTAGTGGAATGATGCATGCGATATATGTAGAATGGCGAGCAGCACGTACACGTGCACATGCATATATGTGCACAAATATCATAAGCTTATATTGACCTACATATATACTCTTCCAGCTGTGTGATGTATTAACATTCCCAAAATCACTCTATTCTAGATCATCTCTCTAAGAAAATATGACTCCTCCCACTACGCTCACGACATGCGTCTGTAAAGCTTCAGCTCATGAATGCTAGCTTACGAGCCCCCAAAGCGAACCGGATATCGATATTGCAGCTAAAGGTGATTCTCCACGCGTGTATCATCTTCGGTTTCCACCGATTTCTTTCTATTATGGCCGATGTCCGTGCCACGCGGTGGGCGCCGGCCGGCCGACGAGCTCGGAATATAAATCCTATGCCTCCCATAATCGCCACGTCCGAACGTTAACTGCATGCATATTTTCGCCTATGGATTGGTCTGCAGTCGGAGGATAAAGACCTACAATTACAAATAGGAATCAGCACACGCTGCGTGATCAGTAGCCCACCAAACGCACCAAACCACAGGATGTAATATATATCGAGTGATATCCCATGACCGCACGCATGCAACCATCTCGATCGATTACGTACGAGGTTGTGGCCAAAAAAAAAGGCCGGTAAAGCTAGCAACGGGAAACTCTGGCCCAACTTCGACCTCGATATCTCAACAACACGCCGAGATATTTACCTCCTATTTTAAGATATAAAGCTTGAGAACAATTAAATATATTCATTATTTAATATTGAGTTATCAGGCCCGTTACGTAGGGGAGTGGAACTCATCGTCGGTATGTGTATGTCCGTTGTTAGGCACGTTACCGGACTTTTTTGGCTATAACCTCGTACATAAGTAGGTACATGTACTGACCAAGTAGGGACAATTGGTACTATTTACGTATATATTTACGTAGATATTGATCTCATTAGAGTACGTAGCTGTTCTTTATCTTTTAATCAGTTGTTCATTTCTAATATGTTTTATGTCCTGCAGTTGGGGGTCCACGTAGTGGCTGAGTTTATGTACTTGGGGCGCTTTAATACCAAGTACATGTATGTAATACGCGATTTAAAGAATACGAGCAAAACCGCCCCCTCCTTTCCGTCCCAGCTGCTGATCCCCAAGATTTCGCATTACTCCCACTCTATAGATGGTCTAAGCCAGCCAACCAAACGGAGATCAAACACTCCCACCACCACCCGCAACAAAAACAAAACTAATCCAATCACCGATCAAAACCCTCCAAACCGGATCTTAACCCCTCCAACACCCTCCCCCCCAATCCCCCCAAAATACGAGGCAGATGATCAGGAGAAGCTTGCCAAACGGATATACGGACGCCAAGATGTGGAAGGATTACATGCATTAATTCAGGTTTGTGGTTTGAGTTCGATACAGCGTGTTTAACTAGCTACAGAAGGCATCGCGTGGTGTGGGGCTTATGGCGGAGTGTAGGCCGCTGTTTAATGATATGATGGTGGTTGTGTTTCTCGAGAGGTGGGCTTAGTGGTGGTGGGTTGGTATTGAGGGTCATGGGGTATCACTCGATGGTACGTACCCTACACTGCTGTTGGTCCCCACTACAGTTGATTTTCCGCATACACTGCGGGAAGGATAGAGACTTCAACAAATTAACTACGAAACAATCTCACATGTGCACAGCAGCGGTTTCGATGCTCTGCATGCGATTAATGAGTTGAACAAAAAAAAAAAATTTCGATGCTCAGCATCACACTCAAATTATAATTAATCACACCAGTATATGTATACAAGCAAGTAAGTCTATACACAAACGCCTTCCCATATCTATACACCCACCCACCCCTTCTCTCTTCCCCACCCCTCCCCCCCTTCTCTCTTCCTCACCCCATATCCACATTTACAATCACGAATACCTCCCCCCCCTCCTAATGCTCACCACCTCCTCCTCCAACCCCAACGCCACATGCCCCACCCCCTCCCCTCGCTCCCCCACAACCCCAAACCTAAACTTCAACCTCTGCAGCTCCCTCGGCAGCGGCTCCCCACCCAGACACGCGCCCGCGGCCAACCGATCCAGCGTCGGATTCCTTGTCGTCAGCAGAAACGTCGAGAAGCTATCGTCGCTCACGACTCCATTCTTTGCCAGCGCCACGAAGCCTAGCATGCCGATGGCGAGCGCAAAAAACACGCCCGCGGTGTATACGCCGACAAGCTTCTCCCAGTTGTATGTGTAGATGTTTTGGAACTCTGTTGAGCGACATCTGGTTGTGATGTTGGTGGCGTAGATGAGCGTGCGGTCCGAGAGGAGGGAGACCACCATGTTTTGTGCCATGGCCTCGATGGCGGGCGCGAGGTTGGCGACGGTCTTCATGTTGTTTGTTGTGCTCTTTGGGGAGGCGAGGGACGTGGACAGGACCTTGGTCTGCGTGATACGCATCTCCTGTGCGCTCTTGAAGTACTCGATGCCGTCCATGGAGTAGTTGAAGTGGCTGATCCCGGTCGAGACATCGCCGGCGAGGATGTCCACCAGTGTGTCAAAGAGCGCCCAGTTTGAGATGTGGATGCGCGAGTACGTGGTGTTGAACGACGGCTCCTCCGTCACCGGGTACAGGAGCTTCACCGCGTCAATCGTGGGCTTCCTCATGCGGCCATCGTTGATGTTGATCGTGACCGAGTACTGCGCGATCGAGTTCACGCACGAATATCCATGCCACTCCCAGGTGTCCGAGTCCTCTGTTTCATCGCCCGGTGCGCGCAGGTTTCCAACAAGCAGCTGGTTCCATACCTTCTCGGCGCGGGCGGCGCTAAAGACCGGGCTGAGGCCGTCTTTGGACTGGCGGGGGACTGTGGTGTTGGATAGCGGGTCATCGACCTCCCAGAACGCCTGCTCGGTGCAGTTTACGGCGGGGCCGGTGAATTGAATGCTGTAGGTGCACATCTCGCCGCAATCCTCCTCCAGAACTGTATCGGCCGCGACCAAGGCCTGTCCAGAGAAGGCAGCGGTCGTGAAGATACTGCTAGCACGGGGACTAGGGTTGTGGTAGACTTCCTCAAATATATCGCCAAGGGTCGTACCGTTGGACAAGTTGTACCATCTCAACCCATCCAGTGGCTCGGCACCAAAGTTGAACGACAGTGACGGTACCACACACTCACCCACCTTCTCCTGCCCCGAGGAAAACACCGAGATTGTGGTTGGCGTAAAGATAGCCACAACAGGCAGGGACCATATGACCATGGCCAGGAACGTGTTGAACTTTGCCCGCGATATCATCTCCCAGCTAAGAAAGTTCAGGGGATCTGTCCCGGCGCCAAACATGGAGTTTATCCCCATTAGTGACATGGACTTCTCCCTCAACGTCACCCACACCCACTGCTTTCGAGCGATCTCAATGACGCCCGACAAGGCCGCGCGCGACAGGAATGCCAGCCCCGTACCTATCCGGTTCACCCACTCCTGGGCCGCTGCGGTGCCCGCGGGGGTGGCGTGGAGGAAGTTGTAGTAGTAGTGGTGTGCTATTGCGGTCCCGAGGCCCACGAGAAAGAGACCAACCATCGCGATGGGTGTCCGCCAGTGAATCCCCCATGGTGCGATCAGGGCATTGCCGTCAGAGTCGGTGGGTGTGCTGACAGACTTGAGAGGATGCGGGCTGGCGGGCTGGAGGTCCCCGGAGGAGGCAAGCCAGGTGCGGGAAAGACTGGAGTTGGAGCCCGAGTGTTTGAGGTAGCGGGACTCGAAGGTTGTTATGCGCCCGGTCTTTGAGGGGAGTGTGAGGGTTTTGAGTGGGATGTCGTCGTTGTCGCCATTGGGACTCGTGCTGGCGGAGTTGTAGGCAAAGGGATCGTCGATGCTGATTTTGGGGGATTTTATGATTGGCATATCAGATACATATGATGTGTATGTGAACAACAACAGCTGATGGGACTATGCAATGATGAGTTCAGCGGACGATGAAGGCTTTCTATACCATTATTTATTAGTGTTATCCCGTACATGGATGGTCCGTCAACAGATACGATTTCTCAGACAGCAAAAAGGCATTAGTGATTTGATGTGCCGGTGGTCATGCCTTTATACTCCCCATGAAGAGAAATCGCCCGTCCGGGTTCGGTATATATCCCTAGTAGAGTCTTCGGATCCCCTGGCTACACATCTTTCGCATATATGGCCTAGGTCCTAGCCAGTAGTAACCCATGTACTCCTGGCATTCTCGGGTTTTGGGCCGGCATACCCCTCACTGTTACTGACTCTATCATCATGCCCTAGACAAATAGGCAATTTACCCATCATGGCATGTAAAAACCATGCCTCCCGCGCCGCAAGATCGACACCAGTAACAAGAATAAGGGGAATTCGCTATCTTTGCGCTTTGCTGAAGGGCAATCGTGAGATTAAAGTACTCGGCACTGAAGAATCCTATCCTTCAAGGCAATCTATTCAGCTTCTTTCCCACACGTAACCATAGGTGGGGAGGGGGGGGTCAAGAAGAATTGGGAAACATGCTCACCGGCACCTTCCGCAAGAGTGATGTTTCTGCACCTCGTATTCGCATATAGAAGGTTAGCCCTTAAGCTTAATGAAAGGGGCCAAGATTGATGGAGGTACTATATGCATGCACTCGCTTGAAACTTAGAGTAGAGCTTGTACGTGTCTTGTCTACCATGCAGCCAGGATTCACAGCCTCATTGACAGGCCCCAACTGCAGTGAGTTCAGCTGGCTTGGTCTCGAAAGACGTTGAAAAGGTTACCCCTGCCAAGACTTTCATGATCCCTTACGGGGTGTTGTGCGGTGCCAAGACTGGCGAGTGATAGCGCGTGCGTAGCAGAGAATTTGTCGTCGTCGTCGTCGTCGTCGTCGTCGTACGGACGGTGAGAGCCGATTGCCGACCCATGGCTCTGGGCCAAGTCGCTAGCCATGCAATAGAATCGTCTTTAGGGAAGGCTGGCTGGATTCTGGAACACATGGAGTAGGGTGGAGTAAGAAGAGTAGAGCCTCTTATATAAGGCTGCAGACTGTCATCTCTGCCTGGATTAGAATATTGGGAAGGGTGGTGTGGTCGATGCTGGTTGAAGTATATATCAGTGGATTGTATGGCCATGTTGATGGCCGAGACTAAAGTGCATAAAGGGAAGCCCTCCTCGCTTCTTATACTCTACTCCATTACCGGACACGTATCGATGTTTAGATACATCTATGTTCTCAACTCCCCTCCGGATGGACATAAGTTCTCTTGGGGACCCCAGTACAGCCATCCAACATCTCTCTATTACCATTTAGCACCGAAACGGCTCTCCCGCAACCAAGCCGAAACCCCCCCCCCCCCCCGCCGCATGCCATGCCACAGCCTCAACAGCCGATAATCAACCAGCGAATACCATACACCTGGCACGCTACCCATCGCAAGGCCTGAAAACCCGCTGTTTGACCGAGTTGGAACGTAATAGAGGATCGGAACAACTCACTAGGAAACATAACCACCGGGCTCCCGGTGCGGACAGATGCCTACAAGTACGCGCCCTGTTAATAGCCAGCCAGCATCACATGCAGTATAGTCTTCCCAAACTGTCCCGGCGGACCTCGTCTCGAAATGGCAGACACGGGGTAGACAGACGATTTTCCTCACTGGATAGACGGGCCCTCCGTGAATCTTGGCAGTGTGGATGGATGGTCTGGGACGGGCGTCGAGTCTCGTCTTAGCTAACTACATGTAGCTTCTGGGAATTTACGGATGGCATTGATAGCTACAGAGGCCTCACTTCACGGCTGCTCTACTAATTCATGGCCGGTAGTGTTGAATCCTTACGCGGGCGGGGTAAGGACACCGGAACAGAATACATGGTTTAGTGGGTATGCTGCTTAACTTTAGAAATCGTTGGAGAGGGCACGGCCACTACTATTGACGATAATCCAGCGATAGTCTATGTAGATACTCATATATTGCTAGCTCCAGCTGGTCTTCTGTCTCTCATCTGAGCTAGCATATAAGCCCAACTAGAACACCCACTACCAAAATCCGCCAGGTCGCAAGCTCGACACATATCTCCCCTTGCCAAATACCCACCATCTACCCCCCCCCCCCGTCCTCCGGTACTAACATATAATGAGTAAACCCAGCTCAATTGAAAAACAGGAGGTGAAAAGAGAAACAATAAAAGAAACCTCCCACAGATAACAATATCGTAAGGAAGTAATTATACAGATAAGAATACCGTTTTGCCCATACCATACCAAACCATACCAAACCCATCCAGACCCAAAAGGTAGAAATAAAAAATAAAAAACCCACCCGCCCAGACCCATCCAAGAAAAATGATTACTCAACAACCGCACGCACCCAGCACCATATCAAGAAATGAGAACACCACAGCCCACAAGGCCATGAAGAAGAACAACCACCCCAACACCACACCACCTACACCTCCACCTCCACCTCAACGACCGCCGCCCCCGCCCCCTCCTCCACCTGCACCTCCACCTCCTCCATGCGCACCTGCACCTCCTCCTCCATCTGCACCTGCACCTTTTTCAGCGGCATCGGCACCTCCACCACGACCACAACCTGCTCCGCCGGGCTTGTGGCCGCGTATGCTTGTGGGTACCACTCTGTGTGCGTGACGGTGAGGGTCTCGGTGCAGGCGCGTGGTTTCTGCGGCGGTGGTGAGAGCGGTGCGGTGGTGGAAGGGTGGGTGGGGGTGGTAGGGGAGAGGGAGGTGGGGGGGAGGTGGGGGAGAGGAGGTGTAGGTAGTGCAGGAATTGGAGGGCGGTGGGGAGGAACATGTTGTGTTGCTATCTCGACGGATGTGTGTGTGTTTGGAGATTGTAGATTAGGGATGTAGATGGAGAGGACCGAGGATTGTGGGTTTTTCGTTTGGTTGTTTTTGTTTGAGTTTCGTTTGCCAGTATACTATAGACGCGGAGGTGGAGGTGGAGGTGGAGATTATACAGTGAGCTAACTACTGTAGCTTAGCATCTATGTACCTTCCGCACTGCAAACGGCCGCTGCATAAGCTAGCTGGCCGTGCCGCGGAACAAACGGACTCCTGGAACCCTGGGGTGAGTGACAGCTCGCGTGGAGGTGGGTGGCTTATAATTGGTTTCTTTTTTTTGGTGCTACGTGAGTGATGCGGTGTGATCAGATATGGGGTTGTTGGTCTACTATTGAGTTGTTGCTGTGCTGGACCTTAGTGGTCGTCGAGGTTGGGGTGTTGTGATTGGAGATGGATGGCATGAGAGGTGAAGTGATGTATGACGTCACGGCCCAGTGCAAGTTGGAACAAAACAAGAATAAATTCAAACGGACCGAGTTTGGAAGACATGGTCTTCCCTCACTTTGATCCCCACTCCACGCATGTGGAATCGAATACCCTACTACTGCACCTCTGCAGCTGCTCTACTGGCTACTGGTATTCCACCCATTATTACGGTCCCCAAACAGGTCTAGACTAGACTGTCTGCAGAGCTCTATGTAGTTTTTACTATGTGACTGGCTAGCTAGACCACAAACAGGCAGGTCCCCAACTAGGCCTCACGCTCATTCCCATTGGCGAGCCATTCGAGTGACAAGCTGTGAGCCGGATTAGGGTCTTGGCTTTTGGGGCTAGGTACATTACGTTTGGGCCCTTAGGTAGAGTAGGGGTTTCAGGGGGTCAAATCGTGAACCAAACTGGAGGGAAGTATGGTAAGTATTTACCTACAGCGATAGGAATGATCTATGGAGAAAACAGTTACATGGTGCACAGATATTTCGCCATACAATTTCACCCCCCGTTTTTCCATAGATCATTCCGGTCGCTGTACATACTCTATAGTAGAGTTAGAGTAGATTATAATTGTCTGCCGGCGGATCCGGAGCGGTAGAGATCTCAATACAACGCATCCAGGAGCAAGCAAGCAAGCAAGCACGCAGAGTGAGTGAGTGACAGCATCCCCAGCCATCGATCCCCAGAGTCTCACTTGTTGTACACTCGTCCGAGGGCATCTCAATCAATCCGCGACAGACATCGCAACGTCAGAGTCAGTGTCAAGTCTACATACTCTATATACTCTACTCTACACAAGTAGTCCACCCCGAGGAATCGGGCGGGCATGCAAAGTGAAGTGGTGGGTGGTGGGTGGTGCGGGAAGCTAGCTGCAGCAGCAGCGACTCTCCTCTACACGCGCGCTAGCTAGTAAGTACGGCGGAGACATTCTGTGGGAAGCTAGGCGTGTGAGACATCTGTTTGATTTGGGACTGTGGGATCGGGGATGTGATCGGCGGCCCGTAGAGGACTGCGCCGATAGGTAGGTACATGTAGGTAGACACACGATTGGGTCTGGCTGCGTGCGTGCACGTGCCTAATTTGCTTCTGTGGACGGACCGGGGGTGGGGGGGGGGGGATAATTTTGGGGGACGTGCTGAGGTTGTTTTTGGTTTGTTTTGTTTGGTTTGCCTGAAGATGTGCGGTTTTAACTGCATGGTGTGTATGATATGACGGTACTGTGACTACATAGCATGATGGTGGTGGTTCAACTCAACACAGAAGCACAGAAGGAGAGGAAAGAAGGCAAGGGAGGATCAAGGGCGCCCGTCGTTGCCTACATGTACTCTACCTACCACATGCTGGACCGTTCACTGAGAGTCTGAAAGTGCAGCTAGCCGAGACGAGACGCGGTTATCTCTCAGAAGTACAATCACCCACAAACGTGACCTATGCACGAGCAGGGGTAGGGGTCCCTAGTGACGCGTAGAGATTGAGGCTGCTATTTTTTTTGTTGCACGGTAGAAAGAGTAGAGAAGACCTAAAGAGAGTACATGTAGGTTATATAGTTTCTAGCTGGGGAAGATCGATTTATTAACTGATTCCATATATGCGAGGATTGAAGGATGAGGCCTAGCTGCTATGTACATAATAGATGTATCTCAATGCATCCTTACACGGGTTCAAACACGTATTCATGCCTTGCCTGTGATCGATCGTTCATCCGTTCTGGAAGATGCTGCTTGATGGTCCGCCCCGGGGGTTTGGGGGGGGTGTTTTATATAGCAGTAGGCAGCCTTAGCTCTTACCATGTACTTCAGAGTACGCACTTCTGCTACACACAGTCAGTCAGTCATATGTAGGTCGATGCTGGTTGAATATCATTTGACAGGTAGGGTGTCTCTGGCTGTTACCTGGGTATGGGGTATGGGTACGACGGCTGCGGACAGGTAGGCAGACATCAGACATGAGTGAGAGAGTGAGTGAGGTATGTGGGCACTCTAATGTCCAAGTCGTCGCTTGTACAGTCGTCGGTCTGTGCTGGGTGCTGGGTGTTGGGTGTGTGCGACCAGCAAAGGGACAAAAAACCAAAAAACAGGCTTTTCTCTTTATGATCAGCCTTCCCGTCCTCTCATTATTAGAAGTCGTTAATTTCCTGAGAGAAGGAATTATTATTACTGCTATCACGCCCAACCAACCAACAAGAAGGTCAAGAGCTCTGATCAGATCACAGACAGCAAAACGTCTGAACGTCTCTCTCTCTCTCATCTCTGCTCTAATCTATTCTACTCCTACTACTACACTAACACACAAACCCACTCACACTCACACACACACTACGTACTGTCACCTCCCCCATCACTCCCCCCCTCTCCCCCTCCCCCCCTTTCATCGTGATCTGTGGTTGTGGTTTTGTTTGATCGATTCGATTCCCCCATTCATCCATCTCATCATCCAACACGCATTGCATTCTTCCGCAGCCCATCACATCATTTGTCAATTCCTGATACTGCTGCATACATACATACATTAGATAGGACAAAAAAAATATATCCACCCCCAACACTTACAACTCAATTTATCCTTTATCATCTTCCGTCCTTCCGTCCCTCCGTCCATTCATTCATTCCTCCTACTTCAATTCCCCCTCCTCCCTCCTCCCTCCTCCTCCCTCCCCCTCTCTCCCCCCTTTGGACAGAGTTCCTCCCCCCCCAGAACCTGTTCACATCCCTTTGTTGCTGCTGCTGCTATCGTTGCTTGTCTGCCTGAGCTGATTGCTGCTACAACAACCACCTAAAAATGCCCTCCCGCTCTGCTGCTCCCACGCCCTCGGGACACCGCAGACTCAGCGGGACCAGCAGCGTCTCCTCGCACCAACCAACGCCAGATCCTTCCCGCAAGCTGACAGAATCCCTGAGCTCCCTCTCGCTGCAAACAGCCCTCTCGTCCCCTTTCCAGCCAGGAGCCCCAGCAGCAGCAGCACCAGCAAACGCCACACAGCTGCTCCCCCGTCGGTCCAGCATGGATCTCCGTCATAGTGCAGGCTCAGGCCGCGACTCCACAACCTCATCCCCGCTGCCCGACACCCACCCCCGCAGAACCCTCTCCAGAGCACCCTCAACCCCCAACATCAGGAAACGGCCCTCAATCACCTCACTAACCTCCGACGGCACCTCCCCCTCCACGCTCACCTCCCCGCTCGTGCCCAACAGCAGAACCAGCCTCGGCCGCCGCTCCAGCATGATGTCGCTACGATCGCTCTCGGTTGCCACGCCCGACCCAGCCCTGCACATCCCCCCCCTGCACCGCAAGGAGGGAATCCCAGTCCAGCACCTGACAGCGCCAACAACCGTCGTCTTCCACGACACCAGCTACCGCCACAAGTACTCGCGCCCCAACACCACCAAGGCCGACCTCGCCAGCATCGTCGAGCGGCCTGAGCGCATCTCTGCCGCCACGCTCGGCGTCACCGCCGCCCAGACGCACATCGGACGGGCGAAACTGTCGCTGCGCAAGAGCGTGCGCATGGGCGGGCTGCTGGACCCGGAGGTCATGCTGGTGCATGCGCACGGCGACGGGCGGAGCGGGAAGAAGACGTGGCCGGAGGAGCTGGCCGCAATGTGTGGGCTGGCGGCGGAGAAGCTGGCCAAGGGCGAGTGCGAGGTGCCGAGGAACTTGCATCAGGGCGATTTGTACCTGTGTGCGGAGAGCAGGGAGGATATGGAGGGGTGCTTGGGCGCGCTGTATGATGGCGTGGATATTGTGTTTGGGTGTGCGAATGGGCTGGATGGGCATGAGATGGATGAGGAGGATCAGAGTGGCGTGAGGAGGGCGTTTGTGTGCATTAGACCTCCAGGTATGATTTTCTGCCATGGAGAGGAAAGTGGTGATATTAATTTTGAGATACAGGACATCATTGTGCTGAGACGCAGCCTTCGGGGTTCTGCTGGTTGAATAATGTGCATATCGCCATTGCCCACGCTGCGCGACAGCACGGCTTGACCCACGCCGTCATTCTAGATTTCGATCTGCACCACGGCGACGGCTCGCAGTCTATCGCGTGGACACTCAACAACATCGCCAACTCCGGCAATGCATCGACCAAGAAGACCGCCGGAATCCACGTTCCAAATATTGGGTATTTCTCACTGCACGACATCAACTCGTACCCCTGCGAGGACGGCGACATGGACAAGGTCAAGAACGCCAGTCTGAACATCGAGGCGCACGGCCAGTTTATCCACAACATCCACCTCAAGCCCTACAACAGCGTCGAGGAGTTCTGGGAGCTGTACGAGAACAAGTACTACTCTGTGATTGCCAAGGCGCGTGAGTTCTTGGCTGAAGCGTCAGTCTCAAAGCCGAAGAAGAATGGCAGAGAGTACAAAGCGGGTGTCTTCATTTCGGCGGGATTCGATGCCAGTGAGCATGAGAGTTCGGGCATGCAGCGGCATGCCGTCAATGTGCCTACGAGCTTCTACGCAAGGTTCACGTCTGACGCACTGGCCCTTGCGGAGCAGTATTGTGAAGGACGAGTGTTGAGTGTTCTTGAAGGTGGATATTCAGATAGAGCACTGATTACGGGTATTATGGCCCATTTAGCAGGTCTGGCATGTCCTTCGCCAACGACTGTGAGCGGGTTTGTCCCGCCAACAACTGGTCTACTGCCTGTTCCAGAACCGTATGCCACCAGGCCCTCATCTGCGGACCGTGGCTGGGACCCAGAATGGTGGGGCTCAGAGAGCATTGGAGAACTGGAGAGATACTACGAGAAGATGACTTTCAAAAAGGTAGTCACCGACAAACCTTCAACATCATACCTATCCGCCACCACCGCCTCCATCGCCCGCTCCGAGACTCCACGCCGCGTCGTAAGCAGCGCCGGCACCGGAAACAGCCCCCCGCTCCCACCACCCGTCATCCCATGGGAAGTCCGCGCCTTCGAACTCAGCCGCAAGATCATCCCCGAGTTCCAAGAATCCGTCGAAATCCCACCCCTCTCTAAATCGTCCAAAAACAAGCGCCACTCCGTCGCCGTCGTCCCCGACTCCAGCACCCGCGTCCTCCGCGACCGCAAGGCCAAAACCCCCGACGCCGCCGCCCCCCTCGACGTCCGACGCAGACGGACCACAACCGGCGGGGCCGTCAGCACCGCCTCCAGCCGCGCCCCCTCCCGCGCCCCCTCACGGGCAATGAGCACCCGCGGCACAACCCCCCTCCCACCACGAGACCTCGAGCCAATCCCCATCGCCACCGGCCGCCGCGTCGTCTCCGCCAGCGCCAGCCCCGTAGTCGTCGCTGCCCCCAGACCCCTCGCACGGAAATCCTCCGTCGTCGGGAATAGCGCTGGCCAGCGATCACCACCTGTACTGCTGCGCAAAGCATCGCTCACAACATTCGACGGCACGCGCACCACCGGCACCAGCTCCACCTCCCCGTCCGCCAGCTCTGGCAGCACATCCCCGCGCGCCGCAGTCGCACCAAAGAAGGAGGTCAGCGACGAGCTCGTCAAGAAGTTTGCGAAAATCAAGATAACCTACAAGAACCGCGAGAAAGAGGAGGAGATCCTACGCATGGAGCGCCAGAAGGAGGAACTCGAGCGCAAGCTCGAAGCCGAAAAGAAGCGTCTCTCCCGCGCAGCAAAGAAGTCGCCCACCACCACCACAACCGGCAGCGCAAGGTCGCCTTCAGCGGCGATGCCAAACGGCGGCGGGATGGCGCGCGCACGCTCCGTGTCTGGCGCGGGGTCGGTGAGGGCGCAGGTCAACGGCCTGGACAAGATGAGCGGGCAGGGGAATTTCCACGGCGGCGGGCAAGCGGCGGAGAAGGAGACGAAGATGGTGACGCCGCCGCTGCAGACGGGGACGCAGGCTGTGGATCGAACGTATCGGGGTGGGGATATTAAGTTTTCTGCGACGGGGCCGGAGCCGGGTCCTGCAGGGTTTATGGGTAGGACGGGGTAGGGGTAGGTTAATGTGTAATTGTACTGGATAGGGAGAAACCCGTGGGAGAAGGAAAAATGGGAAGTGTAGGGAAGGAGGGGGGGGAGGGCAGGGCAAAGGGCGTTTTGATTCATTGGAATAGGGATTGGAGCGGTGGGGGGGTATTTTTTTTTTCTTCTGCCTTTTTTCTTTTGTATCCCTTTTTTTTGTTCCCTTTCCTCTGTCCCTATCGATTCTCTTTTTGTCGGTCCATTGGAATTAGAAACACCCCTAGCCTCTTGGCCGTTCTTGTTGTTTTAGGATTTGGGCCGGGGGGGGAATAATTCATAAACTACTTTTTTTACAATACTCACCCAGTTTTGCTTTCTTCACGGCGGGCAGGCGGGTTTTAGTAGAAAGAACCGTTTTGGGGCGGGCTAGTCAGTCAGCCAGTCAGTCACGCACGGGGGTAGGATGGGGATGGGTGGTGGGGGGGGGGGGGATTGGGAGGATTAGTGTTTTTTTCTACCATTGGAGTTATTATTATTATTATCATTTTCTTGTGTTATTTTCTTAGTTGTTGTTTTTTCCTTTGTTACTATATTCCATTTGTCTATCTTTCTACGCACGCCGCTGCTGAAGTCGGGGTTGGGTTAGGGAGGGGAAGGGGTAGAGGGGGTAGAGAAATAAATGAATAAATCGGTCTAGTTTGATGCTGTCATGGAGGAGGGAGGTTTTGGGGGGGGGGGGCAATTGTTTTGTAGGATAGGATAAGACCGGGGCTGGAGTCGAATAATTCGGAGCAAAGTGGGTAGGCAGTTTTGGCCTACTACGGCTGAGGAGTGGCCATGGAAGAGTAATCGTGGCCGGGGGGGGGGGGGGCAGTTGCAGTGAGGTTAACGCCTTAGTACAGTCAGTAATCGTAATGGGAAACAATGAATATCAATGATCCTCTCTCCTCCTCCCTTTATTGCCCCCCCCCCCCCCCCCCCCCCCCCTTGTGTCACCTCCTCACCGAGAGCACCAGTGCTGCATGGCATCGATCTGCAACAGAAGTTTCCCATACCAGTAATTCTGCTGCTGGTCATGTTATACAGCGAGTGATGCCTCATGATTACCCGTAAAAAAACCTGGGAGGTTTTTATTGCAGCTGCGATAGGGATGATTGATGCTACACCAAAACTACATGTACCTACTCGCGGTGTCGAAAAGTCCTCGGGTTATTTTTTTTAAAGAAAGTCCTCGGGTTATGTATGACCTGAATCTAATTATAGCTTATCTCTCTCTCCCGAGGACGTTTCTTTGGTGTAGAGTACATACGTAGAGATAGCTGATCTTCCCCTCTTTCTCGGCTAGGTCTGGTTACATGGCCCGGAGGCTTTTTGGCGCAGTAGATAGATATTGACGTCCAGAGACTGCTTATATGTAAATACCTACATCTACCGTCCCGCAATTAATATCCTTTCTCTCATGGAGCGTTTAGGCTCAGTGGCGTTTCTCTTTTTTGAAAAGAAAAAAAAGATACGGGGATACATATGCTAGAACCAGCGGGGCTGTGATCAACAGGATCAGAGTTTAATATTTCCCTAGTTCTATCACGGTCTGCACCTTCGACACAACGTCCTATGTAGATCCCATGTTTAACGATTATCTACTCTAGCGTAGGCACATTTTTCTTGACGCTCGGATGTGGTTCCTGCTTCTATGCCTAGTATCACCAAGTACCATCGACCCCACACGAGACAGAAATGTGTTCGAAAGATATGCAATTCCATGAGCTAGATACGCAAACAGTGTCAAGACTCCTCCCAAGAACCCAAATTTGAAAAGAAAAAAACTACCTAAACCAATCCATGATCCGATGCGCATGCCATTAAAGAGAAATCAAAAACTGTTTGAGTATGGAAAAAAAACACAATCCTGATAAAAATCGTAAACTCATCTCGCAAAGCACCACCAAACACAAAATCATAGTAAGAAGAGAACGACACAAGGAAAGTGATATTATCTCAAAGAAAATAACGCTCCTCCAATCCAACGTTTGTTTACTCCACACATCGAGTAGTTACAAGGCCGAATTAACTTAAGCATCCTCACGGAGAAGTGGAGCTCTCTCGCCGCCCTCTCTTGCCTCGCTAGCACCAAAGACCTCTGGAAAAGCAACGGCGCATGTAGAAACGAAAACAATGCTCATAATGGCGAACGCAAACGGCCACTGGAGAGCAATGGTCTTTGTGAAGAACTGACCAACACCGAGTCCGGCACTCAAGAATGCGGTTGCAAAGCCAACGTGCCAATCCTTGAAAACAGCCAAGAAGAAGCCGGCGTAGACGACGATTCCCCAGATGGCAATGTTTGCAAGAATGCGGCAGATCAAGTCGTGGCAGTGGACCATCACAGCACCGTTCCACACCACGAGGAAAAAGGTGAAGGTCAACGGCATGGCAACAACGGGGGTGTGGATCCAGCGGGGGAGGGTCGAGTGGCGGAGATACAAGGCGGTGAGCTGCAGGAACTGAATCACCTGTACCACTTCGGAAAGGAAGAAGTGCGAGCGGCACCACAGCATGATCCAGGCAAAGTGAAGGAGGTTGAAAAGGATAAAGTGTGAGCCAACCGAGGCTGCAGCCTTAACGTGGGCTTCATTTCCGGAGAAAAGATGCCAGATGTAGCCGACTTGGAGGATGTAAAGGACAATCCAGTAGATGGATACGAAGACGTGAGATTGGGTGAAAGGAGTCACGTGGAGATTCGAAATTCCCTAAACACAAAAAGACAAAAATTAGCAAATGGCTTCAAGGTTATGTAATGAAGAGATCAACGGCCACAGCTAAGGCTCGTGATCGAGCAGTGCCTCCAACTACAGAGATTTCTGCTCGTCACAACATTTGAAACGGAAGAAGGTTATCCATAGTACGAGCTTCCCGTGATCCCACAGCAGTTCATACTACATAGGTGCCTCCGTCACGCTCACGTTTGGATAAAAGGGTAGCTTACAAAGATGGTTCCATTGGTATAGCTTCCATCCAGTGGCGGGCTATGGGTGTAGACAATGGCTGTGACGAAGGACAGTAGGAAAGATATCAGGGTGAAGATTTTGTACGCCAGAATGTTATGCTGAGCATCAGGATCACGAGAGAATGGATTGGCTGCAAATACACCAACGTTAGCATCAATCACGACTTAAATTGGTAGAGGGAAGAATTACTGGGACCCATGACTGTTATTGCTGTTGTTGATGCTGTTGTTGATGCTGTTGCTGCTGTCACTGGTGTTCAATTATCTTTCCTCGCAGTTTCTTCGTCACACACGCAGGAGAGAGATGAAGGTGTCCAGAAGAAGAAAGAAAGGGGATCTGTGGTGGTTTTAATACTCCACAAACACGGCTTGGTATTATGGATGACGTATGGGGACAAGGAGGATAGCCATCTGTACCCCGCAACATTTGGCTAGACCTTCAGGGAAGCCTGGGGAAATAGCACTGGATCAGCCACGCGGCAAGTGGAAAACCTGTTGGACAGCGATGGGCAATTGACCAATTGCGATACAAGGCGAGGGGACCTACAGCTGGATGCGGGGGAAGATCTCCCTTCATTTTGGCCCAAGCAGTTAGATCCCGTTCCCCTTGGCTGCTGTTTCTTGATTTCGACTGTGGCGTCGAGCTGTGGGGGCTACAAGCGAGTCCTGGGGCTTGTTTACCGTTTCTGTCCTTGAATCAATGCACCCCCCAGAAGCACCTCGTCTCAGCCTTGACCACAGGATCATTGTTCCTCCTTCCCTCTGATTTTCGTCTCTCACCTCTCTTTTGTCCACATCCCCGGGGAGGGCCCCCATCGTGAATCGAATCACGATTGTCTACCTACTGCGGTACATGGTTCGACGATAACGTAGAAACTACGTCACCTGTCTTTTTACCCCGTACATACTTGGCCAATGATCTGCGGGTGCAGGGGTACTGTGCTTCACAGGGCATTGAAGCTGCTGCATTGGATTAGCGCCTAGGATCAATCAAGAGCTGCACACGCCACCAGGCGGAAATTTCAGCCGTTCTAACACCCCTGAGCTTGCGTTACTAATCGCTGCTCGGTCTAACTCTCTTTGATTATTGTTACTATTTCGCTCTACTTCTTAATATTCTGCCCGAGAATGGCTTAGCTTGGGAATGAGTGTTGCTATCACGTGATCTCGGGTTTTTGGACCATTTATGGCAAGAGTCAAATGCTGCGTTGCCTAGCGCAACCAGTTCGGCAAAAGAAAAAAGTCTTTCGGCTTGTCACGACTGACCACCATCGTCGTTTAAGTCTTCCCCCAGCTACTTAGAGCCCCTCACACTGTGCAGCAGCAGCTCGTTGTTGTTGTTGAGTACAGAGGTTCAACTGCAAGCTCTGGACAGTCACTCTCTGCTCTCTATCTTTAATACATTTAGCTTATTATTCGTTGTTCCCTCGTCAGCTAGCTTCCTTTCTTCCTCGATCGATCCCTCACACCCCCTCTCTTCCCTGGTTTTGAGCCTCAACCCTCTGTTACCCGACTTCGAGCCACTCTACCCGGTTCACTACTCACTGCAGTGCTGTTGACTGCTTGGCTGCCCTGCGTGGTGTTGTTAGTTATTATTGCAGCTGCTACTCTACAGCTGTCCCTGCTTGCTTTGTCACTAATTACTCCCCCCCTCCTCGCTCGCTAACCTGCACCCAAGTCTCACATCTCCACAACCCCCCCCCCCCCCCTGATAGCTTACCTACACATTGTATTGTATACCCCCATCGATCAGCCAACGCACAACGCATCGAGTCAATTATCAAACCCACCCCCCCTCAGATGATACCGCCAAACCCATTCCAATCCTCTTCTTCCTCTTCGTCCGCTAACAACATGCCTGGTTCATCATTTCTCCCCGCTATCCCCGCTTCGTTACCGAGCTACCCAAAACATCATTCGTTTCTTTACTCTCCTCCGGCTCAGACGCAGTACTCCGCCCAGTCCCCATCCCCAACTCTTGCTCCAACAAGAAAACGTCTCCAGCAGAGGAGGCCCGCTGATACCCCCCCAAGTAGCTATAGTAATACCAATAACTACGATTCTGATGAGGACGTCATGCGCAACTCTCTCTACTCCGATACTGCTTTCCGTACTTCATTGGCTGGAAGCCGGAAACGAGGCCTAGCAGATGACGATGCTGAAGACAGCCCGAGAGGGAAACGTGTAGAGATGGCCGGGGATGATGGTCGTCCAGCTGCCAAACGGCGAATTATCGATGTTGTTGGAAGCGTGGCGAGTAGAGTGTGGGAGTTTTGCATCAGCAAAACCCCCTTCTACTCAGGAGTCGAGGAGAATCTTCAAGGGAAAGAAGAAATGGCATTCGAGCGTGAGGTTCAACGCCATATGAAAACAATGCCAGGGGGGTACTCCAACCCCCAGTTTCAATTGCAGGGATCAGGGGGGCTGGGAACGTCGGTATGGGAATGCAACAAAATTACTTTGCTTCCGCTCCGTCGCCATCAACCACATATTGCCCTCCAGAGGTGGTCCAGCAGGAGGAATCAAAACAAGATCATACTGGTGGACTGTCATCCCGCTGGGTCATGGTGTCTCCCACCCCCGTTGCGTCCACGGCTTCTTCGCGCCCCGCAACTGCTACCCATATCCCGCTGAATGCTGCCTCAAGGATTCCACGCCCTTACACAGCGCCAAACATTTACACCACGCCTCCATACTCACCCACCATCTATGCGACCACAGCAACCTCAACAACCACTGCCACTGCCACTGTAACACAAACAAATCCAACAAATACAGCTCCCTCGAGAGCCAGGAGGAACAGCACGGCTTCTAACACGTCAACCCCACGGAGACCGCCAGCTAGGCCAGTTGTTGCCGCGAGCAGTCGGGCAAAACGACCTGCGGTGGTGAGAACTAGGCATTCGCAAGCGTCGTCTGTTGCAGCGCCCGGCGCCTATCCGGCGCCTCCGCAGTCCGCTTTCACCTTTGATGGCGCTCCTGGGCGGGCAGCATCATCAGCTAGCACCCGCTCCTCGAGGCGTCGATTGACGGGAGGTAGCATTTCTGGTGGTAGAGCTGTATCTATCGGCAGCAGTTATGGTGGAAGCTTCGGTGCCGGATTACCAAAAGACGACGATGAGGACGAGGCAGATGAGAGCATCAGAAGATTCAACGAAAAGTTGAAGGATATGATCAGAGAAGGAAGAGAGGCACTCGGGAGTCGCATTGAGGTTACTTATGACGACGATGAAGATCTAGAATCCTTCTAGAGAATCGCATTGGCGTAAAAAAAAAAATGAGAGAGAGCAGGACTGGAAGGGGAATTTGCGACAAATAAGGGTCGAAAATATGACGCAGGGAGTTTAATGTTATTTCTATGACGATTTTCCTATTTTACATTATGAATTTCATGGAGTACTTATTGCTTTCATTCATTGCGAGTTACAGGTCAGCAGGAAGAGAGGGGTGGTCGCGCGCCTCGGTCTTTATGTATCCATTCACTTTGTTCCTCAATGGGTCACTCGGTCGGTCGGTCTTTTCGGTCTTTTCTACATTGTATGTTATTCTTCACTTTTTTTTTGCATTTTGGATATGGCTTTTTTTTCTTTTTATACCGAGGTACTATCCGTGGGCTTCTTCTTCAATTGTTCTTTACTTTTCTTTCTTTCCCCTTCTTGGCACTGTACAGGGGTGTTCTAGTGTTTTTTTGCTACTGAGATGTACTGCGGAGATTCCGAGTTTTTCGGGCAAGAAGGGTTCAAAGTTTGGCTTTGATGGATCCTGTTTTCCATTATATATATTGCACTAAATCAAATAAACAAATAAGAAAAGAAACGGAAGCCTTCGCCAGAAGCGCACAAGTCAACGCGGGCTCTACTAGTGAGAAGGGTACAATCAGCTTTCCAACGGTTTGCCCCGCGAGAAAAAAAAATTTCGCCTAAATTCAGATCGAGGGATCATCCTAGGCTCATTATTGCAAATCGGTACTTACATGTAGTGGCCGGTTGTGGATAGATACTCCAAATATTCGCTGGCCGGCTAATACACCGGCTAATTTGGTGCCCACGTATTGAACAACGACATACAGCTACATAAGCTAGAACCCAGGCTTTGCGAAGATACTCACTCATTGGAGAGGGAAGTGGCCATGGGACTTGATTTTACAGTGAGAAAAAGCAAACAATGAGGGGCAATGAGGCGTATATACGCATGTGTGTGTGTATGTGTATGTGTATGTGTATGTGTATATGTATGCCTTAGTCATGAAATATCACTCGATATTGCTAACCTTACAAGTGCTTATTGACCTGATTTGTTCATTTACTAAGTAATAATATTGAGGAACGATAGAAACTCACTCTCTCCACAACAAATGTTACGTAGGTACTAGTTGGGCATCTCTGCAGACCTTCAAGCTGATAAAAAGCAACTCTGGTCCGCAAACTACTTTGTATCAGCTACGAGCTGCCTGTCACGCTTTCAGGCGGCTGCGATTGTTAATGTAAACAAGCTTTTCTTCTTTTTCATTTAACTTGAGGATCAATGCGGGCGTCACATAGTCTAATATGAGACAAGACAACCCATGGGGTAGCAGTGGCCAGGCATGCTATACATACACATGCCCAAACCTGCATAGATGTTGTCCCACTCAACCGCGATACGTCGTGCACAGGTACAGATCATGATAATCTGCAGGCACCTTTTACTGGTGCTGTAGAGCAAAGTAGTAATCATCTCCAATGCACATCCAAATAATTCACTCATCAGCTACCTACCCTATGGCCATGGGCGTAGTCACAAATCGTATGTTTCCCCATGAGGAGGGATCTTATCACATGTCACGTTCTGATACCGGCGATGGAATAAGAGCAGATCTCTTTGCCAAGCTACGACACCGGTCCTACTTTAGCCAGAGTAGGGTCAAACGCGTAACTAGTACTACTACGGCAGTAGGAAAAAGAAGAAATACTTCGTTCTATACATATTATCTACTATTGTTCGCCGGTCTTATACCTTGTAGCCCTGGTCCTATGATAATTACTTGGTACAGCCTTCTCGATCGACCTCCTCCCACAGAACTCACTACCGGGGCCATGGCATCAGCTGCGCCCTGGAGAGATAGTCGATCATGAACGTACCAAGAGCATCGTGGGTCCAATTAGTTGGGCCACGGAATTATTGACTTTATACGTACATGTACGTATATATTCACTTCAGATTGGTAGTCCCACGCAGCGCCTAGCTCAGGGCTCACCGCAAGAGAATACGTATTTATAATTTAGATAAGAAGCATACCATAATGTCCCGCATATATAATGTAAATATTAAAGAGATAATGCATGTCCGCAGTTACTAATGTAAGCTACGAATACGATTGATTTATCCGAGCTTGTCTAAATCAAGGATATGTGTAAGGCCCGTGTACCTACTACCTAGACTACTCGTCAATCCTATGTATGTCGTACCTCTTGTGCTATTGGCCTGATCTTCAGGTCTACAAAGGCTACATATTCGGCATTTAAAATTCTCTGCTTGGTCAGTCACAGAGCGCCACAAGAAGGCAAGATATCGGGGGACCCTTAAAAAACAAAACTAAACATACAATGCTCCGAGCGAAACTAGCAATTAAAATTTGATCTGCTAATTTCAACATGCATTGACCCAGATATAGGAGTCTTAACCTAGCCTAATATAGATTTTCTCAACCTCATTCTTACATGGGGCCTGTTGTTACTTTGAGCTGTGGTGTGGCTCCCTGGTACTTTATACAAGGTATCCCAGAAACCGAGGCGACGCACCGCCACCACCACCACCACCAGGACTAGAGTCTAGACTAGGTATTTCTCCATACCTAGCTTCGTAGCTAGGAATATAGCTAGGTTATCCAAGATCAGATTCAACTTCAGCAAGGGTCAGTTATTGACCCTGTAGCCGATCTGCTATAACTATGCGGAATGGAAGATTAATTAATTCGATCCTCGTTTACTGCTTGTATCATAAATTAAAAAGCCACCTCATTATATGATTGGTGCGCTCATGGGGCATATCTCCTGGCGCTGCTCACGTGTAGCGCATACATACATGTATGTATCTACACATACATATCAATGATTGAATTCCGAGAAATAATTCAAAGGAGCGCCTCCTTCCCCGGCTCGAGGAAAGCTAGACAAAGTAATATAATCAGGCGCTAATAATCCTTGACCCTTGACGGAACGCGATGTATACTGTTTTATAGATCGCTAATCTACAGTTTGATTTTGTGATTTCATGGGCACCATCGCCCGGCTATAGATCCTGATTACTAGCCAATTGAAACATTTCAATTCAATTGAGTAGTCTGGTTTTCTAAATTCCAAAGAATTGAGAGCGGGGTTTCTTTGCGAAGGAGTTAGGGGCTCCGGTCGGATAGTAGTGGTCGTTGGTGGAGACTTGGCCGTATAGGGGGGGAGACGGTAGGTTATGGCTAACTAAGCCGTATGAAATCTCAAATAGGAGCGACGATGTCGGTTTCCGGTGTATGAATATCGGTGCCGGGATTTTCCACCTCTCAGAATCCGGGGAAGGAAAAAATAAAGAGACTAGGAGGGTTAAGGATCAGGATCTGCCTTGCACCTTGTCAGCAATTAGCCCCACAAACCCCCGGGATTGATGCTGGATGGAGGAGAGCTTGATCAGCTGAACATGAAGGCTGCACATGCGTCCCTACAATACCCGGATTTTGCAAGGCTATGAGATAGGATTGATCCCCGGTCTTGTGATCGTACCCTAGCCACTTGCATATTTGTCTCCATATCTTAGACTTATCAAAGTAAATAAAGCGACTTCGAGATTTCAGAGGGAAGATTCATTGGGATTGACATCCCCTACGTCTCCGGCTCAAGATAGAAGAAAAAGAAGAGGAAAATGATTCCAGACCGAAGGTAGCCTTCTTACTCGATCGGCAACATCAGTCGAGGGTACTGGTAGCTAGTATGACGCATAAATAGCTATATTTTCAACGAATTTCTGTCTCTTCGCGGTGAATTTGGGGGTGGTCTGGCGTGGCGCAATTGCGCAAGATTCGGGTCAGCTTCTAGCGTCCTCCAGACCACAAAATCGAATTTCTCATATATCTGATGGGATACAGCTCGGATATATAGCACAAAGATTTCTTCTAAACATATATTGCTTGTGTCGAAGTGCGTTCCACAATACTAATGTATGCTCAACAATAATGGTCTCGACAGAGAGACCTGGGAATCCTGGAGTCCAAACAAACTCTAATAGTACTGTTGAATCCATGAAATCAGTAAATATTCCAGGTTCATGATATAGATTCGCATCACACTCCAGCCCCTAACCTAGATAGATCCCTGTAAATAACTGTCTCCATGTGTGCAGTACGGCCGGTGCTTCTAGAAAAAGTGATATAACGGGTTAAACCGCCAAAAGAAACAGGGGTAAGAACTACACACAGACATTCAATTTTACAAATGCATACCGCAGTATCAAAAATCGCGTTGTGCGTTTCAAAGTCTTAATAATTCATTGGATGAACCGTACCCGGAGATACTCTAGAAGAAATGAAGGTGGGGAGGATCATGATCAGGTAGGGGTGGTTGTACACGGGGGCGGTAGTACGGACGTGTTAAATTCGGTGCGCATCCCTTGCAATTGGCCCCAACGTTGCATGTTGTTGTTTTTCTTTGTACCTTGCAGCACGGCCAGCTAGTTAGAAACCATAGTCCCATATTTAATTGTGTTCAAGAAAATTACTTTACGTATATACCTAGCCTATCCACGTACAGTCGCGTTGATCAGATCTTGTAGCACTGTCGAGAGTGAACACAATACTAAACCCTTGTTCAACCAAACATTTTCCCTGCCTAGAATCGATATGTAGTACTTGTTGTATCTACATACCTACATGTAGATGTGCATGTACAGCTTACCCTCAAAAGAACCAGAAAATGCAAGTAACGGAAACAGGGATTATTTGTATGAGAGAACGACGCCACTCCATACAAATTATCCTTGCCCTGAGCAACTGCATTTTCTGGTTCTTACGCTGGTAAGCGTGTACTGCTCTCATTCTGTCCCCCGCCGGGTGCAACATGACAGGTACATATGTGTATGTACATGCCTACACAGGTACTAGGTTCAGATATGATATGTTCTGTGCTCCCAGCTCGATCATCATTCATAAACTGGCCAGGTGTGATCGGATATAGTGTCTTATTCGAATATTGTTTTGCCGCGTCAAGTTCTATAAAGACAGAATAATTACTTCAGCTTGCCGCCACTGATATTTTCCTAGTGTGAACCCCGGCCCCTGGCCCGGTTTTGGTCTGTCTTAACTCTTTCCAGAAAAGTCAGTCGTTTATGGGGCTTGATGCGGGTACGTACAGGGAGTGTAATCATAACGAGGGTTCTCCACATCAAATGTAATATGTTTCTGAACATACCTAGCTTGAAAGGTACACGTATCCTGTGATCCCAGAAGTGGATGAGGTTGTAAGTTTGAAATATTCTAGTAGGCCAGCTGCGCTGTAATTAGGAAAAGCGACCGAGCACAGGCAATTATAACTTGCCTTAATTCCATGAGATAGGTGCGAATTCCGGTAAAGCGGGTTGTAAAAACTCTAGCAACTGTAGATTACAAGAACTTCATGGATCTACGTATGTTGGTATTTCATAGGTGAGCATCTTACCTTATGATGTTGTTGTTTTAAATTTCGCATGGATGGCGCGTGCAGACGTACATACATGTATGTATTACTACCAGGATTCGAAACGAAACCCTGCCTAGCGGCAAGCTAAGGACACGAATTAAGGTCAAAACAAGAAATGACAAGACGAGACAAGACATGTAGGTACAAACGGTCTTAACACTACCGCCGCGGAGCACGGAAGAACGTTAACTCAGCCTCACATAGAAGGCAGTCGCGTCATGTTCTAGAAATCAAAGCATAGATATTCCATTTTAGGTCACGCCACGATGTTTCACACAAACCGTTTCGAGAAAGATTGAGAGCTGAGCTATCCACTTTGACTGAAAGGAGAAACAGAGTCTAGAATATTATGTAGATATGCACGTTGCACCTTGGTGCTTTTCAAACCAAGGCAAGACTTGACGAAACTAGATGGCACTTACATATATGGATCGATTCTCAGCATGCACGGCCATAAGCGGATCCGGGCTGACATTTTTTGCGCGGGCCATCCTGCATTGTCTGAGGTGTAGAGTAACTAGATATTATTGAAACAATGTTACCATCTTGAGGACGGGAGAACTAACTACTTCTGAGGTCATTGTCTGAGGTGTAGAGTATGTAAAACTATTAAAATGTCTTGATCCACAACATAAAGATTGACAATGATTTACGTGCAGGCTACTAGTCTAGCTCAATATACGCCCATTCCTAGGCGGATATTAGAGAACATTGCGCGATAGTCAATCTATCAATTTGAAGAGATTGCGCTAAAATACATGCATGTCTTACATTCACGGCGCCTGACAATCGGAGTTGTCCGCAAATATTGGAGATTCAATTAACTGACAGTTAGGGAAAGGAGTTCTCGAAAGGAAAGGGACTAAGGGAAATTCCGAGAGAAAAAAGCCCCTATAGTTAGCTGCCCATGGGGCTGGAGACAGATATATTTTAAAGGAGAAAAGGTTTATAGTATGGCGCGAGAAGGCATAGGGGGTGGGTGTGTCAACTTCAGAGGAACTTTTTTTGTATGGGAATTAGAGAAAATTCCACCGTCAGGCTAGGCGCTAGTACCATTATGGGAGTAGATCTCTCAATTCCTATAGATTGATTGGCTGCAAACGCCGAAGTTTACACACCTACCCACCATAGCTTCTCGAGCCATACAGCTAATGATTCGATAGCTGTTAATATTAGGAGTCGTTGGTAGCTTCGCTGTACAGTACGTGCGTAGTATCGCGCTAATACGGCATCTACCCTACCCCTAGCTACATGTGCATCCATGTACTCTAATGTGCTCTAGAGTCCTCACGTACTCACATAGATGTACGGCCTACCATACTTGTAGGGTACATGTAGATGTATCTACCCTGCCTATGTACCCTACATCTATCAACCCTACACACTACGTGTAACCCCTAGAGTAGTAGCTACGTAGTACATGGCCTCTAATTTCTTTTGCCATGGTCACAGATACAACAGCTTGGTCGTGTCAGGCTTGCTTATCACCAGAGTTGAGCAACGTACGTATGTACATGTATTGTCTTTCTTAGGCATTCTTTCGCACAAAACCAGCCGAAGTGCATGCGTTAACTTTTAATGTTCTTTTCCCTTTCTTTTTTCGTCTTGAGCATTGACATCGAAATTTATCAACCTGTACGGCTAACTACGCGGATCGAATTTCTCCTACGGATGTGGAAATAAGAGTCTGGTTAGCTAGAGCTATAGCAGAAAGACGTTAGAGAATGATATGAACTGGTTCTATTACAAGATAAGCCGGCAGCGGCCAAGGTGAAATGGTTATCTCAACCTCGCACGAGAGTTGAGTATCGAGTACATTCTTCGTTTTCTATTCAGCTGGATATCGTACGTACATACACGTACATATACGTACGGATGTGCCTACCTGGTAGGATTAGCTGACAATTTCTCTGCAGATAAAAAGGACAGGTGTAATGATCTACATCAATTGCAAGATATCCAAGTGTTTAGGTATTTTTGGTTGCTTTCAATCAAATGGTAATAAAATGAATCTTGGACATTGCCACCAAGCCGCAAGAAACGTAATATAACGCTCAAACATCACACTCATAATACGAGAATAACTAAACAGTGCGGTCTACTAGTACTAGCTATCTCTGAGCTTACTGTCTCTCCCTCAATCCCTGGAAACAGCCTCTTCACCGATCTTCTGCGCCCGACTAGTACAATGCACGGTTAATACCTTTCGTAATGAAGAATCACAAAATTTAAAAGCAATACCTAGGCACCCGCCCCCCCTCAATTCGGGGCGAGCCGAGCCAATGGCAACCCTACTTTTAGACCGGAAATGCACCGATACCCACCCGCGCCCCATTCGGGCGTTCAACGTTCTCCAGATACAAGTTCCTGGTAAATTCTTGTTAGGAATTCAGATGCCACGGCTCCCCTGGGGATAGAGACTGACCGCATCGAGGTTAGACTCGGACGTACCATCTCTCGGACGATCAACCTTGTGAGTCTTCTGAAGACTGGGATGTGACGAAACTCCCATGAAACGAATTTAATCATTATATAAACGATTTTCTATAGCTATCTAGCTACTCGAACGAACCGGCATATATAGTTCACCCCCTCGAAGGCTTTCAACTATCAGAATTTCAACTCAGAAGCTCTCCGGCAGTATATATTCATATATCTGCCTCAATTGCTGTTCACACACCATTATATTTCTTCGATATCGATATATCCACCATGCTAAATTATCTAATTGCAAACGGGAACAACGACGGTGGTGCCGGAAATGATGCTGCTCCAAATGCTCAATTGGCCGCTGGTGAGATTAATATCATACATTTCCACGTCGTATTCGGCATTTTCTAACACTGTTTTATAGATGCTCCTCCTCCTCCGCCTCAAAACCCAATCGTACCACAAGAGGTTAGGCTTGCGGGTAGCAGAATGTTAGAGAGCTGGTATGAACAGGACATAAAGGAGGAGCCAGTTATTGTGTATGCGAACTCTACAAAAAAATAAGGTATGACCACATACAATACCAAATTCAATTGGCTTACTTGGAGTTCTGGCTAATAGATTGGCGATCATAGATAAATTTGAGCTTATTCAGCTCAACAAATATATTGTAATCGGAAAACCTTATAATAGCTTGGTCGGATATAATCATAATACAATACGATATAATGACAATGGGCGCTCGATCGGGGATGCGGGTAAAGGGGGGGGGGGGGAGTTTAGTAGCAATGTGCAGGGGAGTTTAGGGGTTGCTTTTTCATATTCGTTTTTTCTTGACTTTTTATTTCTTCTTTTTCATGCTTCCAGTCGATCTTGTTCGTTGTTTTGTTCTTTCTTATTCTCAATAGTCTACTAGCTTTCAAGTGATCAGTTGGTACATGTACCTTTCTACCAATCGGTAACCGGCCTACTATTTTAAAAGAGTGTCTTTCGTGACGTGCCATGACAACTGTAATGCAAGTATCATGCTATGAATCCATTCCCCTAACCATCATGGGAATGGCCGCATATCTACAAGACATTCAGCACAACCACGTACATCTTATGAAGAGTACCTACATTATACTCAGGGTACGGTACGATGGCTATATGTACGTACGTCTGGATACGATTGTCTGTGCACTGCCAGCTTGTGTATTGGATTTTTCTTTCTTACTGTAGAGTACCGCGGTTGGATCGTCGGATCATGTGCTATCCAAAGGGTAATTGTAGATCATATTTCCAATCCGTATTTTTAGGAAAGATTGGTGCATCTGCAGGAGGGGTCGCGTCAAGTGAAGAAGAAGAAGCGAATTATACATGCTGTCAGCGATCAAAATAACGTAAAACCGTAGTGCATACTTGCCGACATGGCTGACACGGCGCACGTATTATTCAGGATTAATTGATCAGGGTACGAAAAAAGCCTTCGTAGACATGAATAGACTCCACACCGCAGGGTGAAGAGTGTAAATACATGTAATTCAGTTCTTCTCCCGCCAAGTGCGCCGTGCTTGCACTTGATTCCTACAACATACAGGTATACATATATACGCATTGATCAAAACAGTGTCTTTTCACCGCTGCAAGAGCTCTGCATTCAAGCCATAACCGAACGCCGTAGCCTTGATCATTGATAGCCGCAGCCTTCCTCCACGAAATTAAAAGTGCAATGTCAAATGAAACGATTGGCGAGTATGTATACTAGAAAGCTGCGCTTTAGCTTGCCCTTTTGGTACTTCGGCTATGTTTGAGGGACCTGTCTTATCTGTTCTGGTACGTACGAGGAAGTATTTGTCACTGTTGGTTTTTCCAAACGGGGGGCTTGAGACATTCCACGTGAAGAACAATTCCAAGGTCAAGTTTTCCACTTTGCACGATAATAATGCGTGCGGCTGTGATTCTGGTGAATGATTGAATGAACAACTAACAGCTCTCTGTCAAGTATGGATGTGATCAACTAATTAGTAGCGACAAATACAGCACTCATTGCCGATCATCAAAGGCGCCCTGTAGCTCCATGGGGTAACTACTGTATCAATCCGCCGGTAGGACTCGCAAAAGAGCTGGTGGGAGGTGTCAAACTGATCCCCACACTTCCGGATCCACTCACAATCCTGACTGATCGAATAAAAACGAACGAGATCGACTCCGGTAGTGTACCTAGCTGTGACCCAGAGGCACAGCTAGCTGCATATGAAATTCGAAAGTCCACATTATCGGACTGTCAACCTGTATACCGCCTCGCAAAGAAGACCCCCAGCCTTTATTCTGGTAAGTCCACCCCGTGATCCATGCGGCGAAGATGAAGGGCGTCCCTTCTGTGTAGGTACATTCTTGGAAGTTGTAATTAACTATCAAGTACATATGTAGTTTAGCAAGTAAAGCCCTATCTCATAGTGGCGTAGTCTAGCGAGTTAGCCGAGGCGGTCTTGCTACTTTTATTTTGCTGCAGCACAGCCATTTAGAAAAAGATCAGACCTATGTGCGAACCCACCAACAAATCTGGATAGCGACTCATAAAGTGGCTGGGCACAAAATAAAAGCATTCAATTGAACTGAGGGTGAGCATACGTTATGATTCGCGTATGCTATCTAGGTTAATGATATATCTTTCTCGCAAGGCAACAGTAGTAAAAGCGGTACCTAGCTAGCTAATCGGGTAGCTTTGCTGGGCCGTACATATCCCCATATATATCTTGTGTTGTGTTAATTTGTGTGTTTCGGGAGCCAGTGCCTAAGTTATCCTAACGGACTGTTCATCCATCATCCATAACCTGCCGACGGCGGCTGCGTTTTGTTTTTGTTGGAAATGATTTCTTTTTCCCCTTTTCCCTTCCCCTCCTTTCCTTCCCCCCCCCCCCCCCCCTCCACTTATCTCTTATAGATGGGGTGTTAATTACCCCACCAGTCCCACGAGATCGTAAATACAGTTCCCTCCTTCTCCCCGCTAATCGGATTTGCGGTTGTGTACCGAATTTGTCTTAAGTGGCATACATCTTCGGATACAACTACCTACCTCAATTGGCTGGTTACACACCTCTATTCTAGAATGCGTGCATCGAAGCATTATGACCGTGAAACATGAAACACGTTGGTAAAAGCCTGGAAACAAGCTTAAGTAACGTAACGTACGTACAGCATGCATTTGACTCGTCTGGGCGTCCTTACACCTGAGTCGTTCGAATTGTTGAGATGGCGGCCTCTCACTGCACATGCTGTCGAGTGCCTCACAAGGTAAATGAGGGGGCGATACTGTGTACATGTGCGATATACGTAGTGTGTATCTTTCGGAGCCTAATCTGTGATCATACCAGCTCCCGGGAAACTATTCCGATGTACGCGGGAGACCTCAGACGAGAGAGGGCGGATTAACTTGAAAAGAAAATTAAGAGGGCAGCGCGAGGCACGTACTCCACAGCGGCATAATGTACATAATATGTACGTATGTATTGATCATTATGAGGAACTGGGAAAATATAGCAGGCTGCATGCCATGGGTCTATTCTGCATAAACTGTCTACCTGACAATTACTCAACTTTGGTGCCAACCAGTAGAGTGGTGGGGAAAGCTTAAGGTGGGCGAATATGTAATGTGGCAGAGGGCTACACCCACCACATAAATGCACACCTGGTCGATCGCGATGCTCAATGCTTCTTATAATGGGTAGGTCCTTCCTTCAAATGCCCGGTTGTGTTTCTAACGCACTGCCAGGTTATGTTATCCAATTATAAGATCTCAATTTTAACTAACATACCGGTACTCATATCTCACTAGTGCTCCGGATCCGGCTCAAAGGCGTTGAAACTCGAGTTTCGAGATATCTGAAGAGGAATAGTTTTTTATGCAGCTCCTGGACTCTCCTTAACTACCAAATATATGCCTTGACTAGCTAATGATTTGTGATATTTTCCGTCTATTTTCTTTTTTCTTTTTTGGGTCCCTTTTCGTTCAGTATTGCAGGGCTTGATTTCCACTGACCATTCCTCAGTCAGCCAGCTAGCTAGCCGACTCTTGAGCGGAGGAGCCTCATAATATTGTCCTGAGCCTGCGCATGGTTCGGCCCGGCGACCCATGTATAAGTATCGATGTGACCTTCAATCAAGAACTGAATTAGCTATTTCCTCTCGAAACTCAAATCCTACTGAGAAGACCAATCCGAGCCCAAAACACCACCAAGAACAATACATTCCGCTTCATTTACGGGCTTTTGGCGTTAAGACGCTCCCAATCTACCCCTTGTACCAGAAATACTCCTCCTCACGAATGACACTTCGTCAGGTACAAGGCCCAGTGGCGGTAAATGCTATCAACGCTAGTTCCCCGCCGGTCAATGATCAAAGTATTTCCTTCCTTCTCACCAAAGCGCACTCCGGTCTCACAAACTGACAGAATTACACATAAAGTTCTCGCTTTTTCTAAAACCCTACAACAAGTACAGGTTCTGGACGGCGGGATGTTGGCTAAGATGCTGGAAAATGGAGTCAAAGAGGATCCGTGGAGTTCAGTTGCGAGGCTAGATCCGAGGAATCCAGGGAATAACAGAGGTGGCAGATTTGAAAGCAGTTGGTGACTAGGGGGAAAACTGTCATATTGATGGCTACACGTATACATTGTTGTGGATTCCCTCGTTTTCATTTCATTTGGAACTTTGGTACTCGTTTTTTTCATTGTATACTTTTTCATTATTCAACTAAATCATTGTAATTTCACCTTGCTTTCAATTCAATTTCTTCAAATATTGTAAATTTGTAGTTGATTTCTTAGTGAACGATTTTTAGTATGAGTCATTACTAGTAACTGGCCCCCGTGTCAAGACCACTATGTGCTCAGCAGAAGTGTGGGGGGAGATACACAGGCCACGCAGCACCGTACGTACTCGTACAGATATTTCACATACTCACATTTTCATAAATGATCATGTGCTCTACACTGCTCGATGACAGCAACAGCAACAGCGAGAGAAGATTAGAAATGATCTGTTTTCAAAGCTTTAGATCAGCGATAGTCTTTATCGTTACCAGGATCAATTATTAGTACGTACATTTCCAAGTCCAAGTATGCAAAAAGCCGCGTTATATACATGTAGTACATACCTAACGTAGGTATTCGTGGCAGATATTCGTATTTGACCTAACCAATAATATCACAATATTGCCCTAGATGTCGTTGTGTCACCCTTGATTCAATATGATATGTAATGTTTGAGCTGGTGTTTCTAATCATTAATTCCAACTAAGTACTTATAAACATTGCTATATAGGGTGAAAGGTAATTCGGTGTCACTAATTTTTAATTATGGTTAGATGAAGTGAGTATTTTACACTAGGGCTTGCATGAGTCCTGTTACATTCCGCCGGAGTACATATTTTATGGATAACTACATGTACATTTACATAACCAAATAACAGCTCAGACAGGCTATTAATCAATAATTCGTGAGTGAGGAACACATCTCGGAGCCGAATGAAATATGTACTACACAGAGTTTATAACCCCCGCCAACTGTTGAGACGTTAATTCAAGTAACGAAAACAAAGAGAGGCAGGGTACGGGCACCATGCGGAATCAAGAAGGGTTGGCCAAGAAAGTATAATTGACCCGAGATTTCTACCCGGTGTAACAGTTAGTACAGTCGCACCTCGCTATGCCGGATGGCCAAGATTCACCAAATCTTGTACGGGATAGCAAATATTCCCAAGAAATTCGGGATAGCAAATTGATTTTGCAGTAGAAAAATAGAATTCTCAAGAAATTTCATACGGGACAGCAAGGGATTCGGCATATTGAGTTCCCCCATAGCGAGGTGCAACTGTATATGATACATCCAGTTAGTTTTGATACACACCTCAGCTGGGTAAGCACGACGGTTGTCGTACGTACGTTGCTGCAACACTGGGGGATCGCGGAAGGAGGATTCTAATCCCTACAGAAACGTTCCGAAGTAAATACCTAACGATGAATAAGTGGATTGTGGAGGGGGATTTCCTTTCCTTTATTCCTTCCTTCTTTTCTTTTATTGATATCCTACCTTAAGGCGCGCGAGCGTTGCCGAGTGCATTCTAATTTATGTTTCCTGGGCATCTCTTCGCGATCGCGTATGTGCGACATGCATGAGATCAGGCTTGGGTCATGTTTGGATCAGAGGGAATTTACATACATAGACTGGAGCAAGACAGATCTCGATCACCTAGCCGCTCGAAAACCCCTACCTAAATCATGATTTCCTGTGATTGTAAGCCAGTACTTCCACCAAGTGGTGCTATACCTGGTTCTTTCAGTCAATATACTACTATTTATTTCACATAAGTCACTCGAGTGATATTAGAGATGTCCTGATACTAAAGGGAAGCGTCTTATTTGAAGTCTAGCTTGAAATGGCCTACTCGGCGTTTTAGATTACTCATCCGGGCCCGACAATTTTATGTACGCATTGGGCGACTTCCCGTGGGCGTTTAGAAGGTGTTTAAAAGCGGTTTGGATGAAATTTAGAGTAATAAAATTTGGATGGCAACGCTCCAGATTCAGAATCTGAATGGGGGGGGGGGGTACGTTCAAATTTCTAAATCTTTAAAATTTGAAAGGGCGAAATACGATTGGTTAAGAAAGGTTCCAGGTGGTCCTGATGTTACGCACTAAACTAAAGCAGTACTTAAAAATCTAGAAAATATTGTTCGCCATGGGAAGGCATTCGCATCCAGATTCGCCTAAACGCCTTCCAAATTTTCACGGGAAGTCGCCCATTACTCGGTCGTTAATTAAAAGGTCGGAAATTTTAGTAAGCATTTGGTTACAACGATATCCGACCATTTAATTAACGCGCGAGTAGATGAGGCTCTAGTGGTAATACACCAACATGGGAACACGCCAAAGTCGAGTCTCAATTGAAACAGGATATCCCTAATTCAAAATACACCTGCACCCAAAGCGGCGTTCTGTCATATTTTCGCCCCGAATTTACAGAGATTGTGAGCCTTGAATTGGTCGCGTGACGTAATAGGACTAGCGAGATTATTACTCGAGTGATAGCTTATGATTGTAACACATGGATACTGGACAGTGAATCTGCATGCCTGTTAGGATAACTCTATGTGGTTCCGGACACCTACATATTAAGTGCCTGTAATATATGATGTACATACATGTATGTAACACATAAGAACATGATTGCACACGTGGTGTGCCCTTGAGATTTCGATCTCTCATACATATACAATATAAGTTACATGTACTTACTGACACTGATTGCAATCCTATTATGCCGCGGTTAATCCACTGCATATGTACATACTTAGGTCCAGAAACCAGTAAGTCCTTCATTTGGCATATACATTCTAGATCTACGCCTGTACATGTGGTAGCTACAAAAGGTGCTGTATACCTTTCCTTGATATACATGTATGATTACATAAAGTTTCAGGGGTACTGACGCACGTATTTCTTACCACAGAAACTCTCAAGAATACATGCTTCCATTCGCACAGAAATCCATCAACATCTGTCTTATTTGATCCATTTTATTTCACTCCCAAAATCCATTTTAAATATATGCATTTACTGGCGTTTGCGCTTTCGAATATTCTAAGCCTTGAGTGTAATGAGAGTTTCACCAAGCCGCCGAGGCTTTGTTTAAACTTTCAGTACACCTTTACCATGCATACTGCGCTCCTTCCACTAGCTGGCCTCTTCCTTATGCTCCTCTCCGCATTATCACCATCTCCGCAATCAAACTCATTACCATTGTCAGTCGAGGAGCGAATGATGACCTCTTTCCCTCGTGAAAGCTTGATGTAGACTAAACTCGTAAAGGCTAGTGTGTCGTTACAATAGGGTGGTGATACACCCAATTATTCAGCGAATATCACAAGAGTATGATATCCCTGCGCATGCCCTCCATCTCTTTTTTCTGTATCTGCCCTACACTTCTCTAGCTGACACTGAATTTTGGCCCACCCATCTATGAATTGCGTCTGAACGCTATGTTTTTATATGATATAACTTTCTTCCCAACCTATACGCGGACGAATCAAGTGGTGAGCTCGATGGCCGTCTTGAGGAGTGGCTCGACAGCAGCTGCCCTTACCAAAGATACGTCTATGTAGCTTCTGGATGCACAGATTGCATTTGAAACATCACGTGAACTCGGATAAGTTGACCAATTCCTGAGAGGAACAGAAGGTAGATGTTTTCGATGTGTCTCTTAGCTTATGGTTTCTCCATGATTTTTCCCCACATGCATTTCGGCGGGGGAGCTGAGATGGTGTTATGCAAGGTCGCACCACAACGCTGACATGACGCTCGGGACAGATAGCAAGTGCCCATCGATTAGACATCGGCACCCCATGTGTCAAAGCGCCGAACATTGCTGTGTACGCGAATCGTTAACCGGGAAACTGCATAATCCCGAACCCTGTCAAGATCGCAAATGATCTCACTAGATTTCAAACTTCCCGCATTATTCCAATCAAGGCGGCGAGATAACCGGGGAATCCGCTGTGAACGCATATGAATCTCTACACTCTCCATCCTGGGAAACTGTCTCTCTTTGAACGCAGGGATGGGCGTCTTGGCATGACCATCATGTCCTTAATTACTTGTGCTCTCTTCGCCGATAGTAGCCATGTAAATACATGTGCCAGTGTACCAAGCGGGGTTTGAGGTAAAGATGAGCTGATTTTGTGTTATAGAGCGATTTATATAGGCTTCTAAGTTCTTTTTCTTGGGTTTGCGCAATTCTATCGGACCAATGGATCTCTAGTTCATACAAAGAGGCCCCTACAACTGTAGACTAAGACGACTTGGATTGATTGCTGATGGAACTGCCGTGAGCAAACAGACGGTATATAGATATACCATACATCAAATTTGCAAAACGATCTCACAACTATTAGCACAGAGAATCCAGCCAACCTATTATAGCGCCTCATAGCTAAATTTGTACCTGTCACGCATGAGCTGTACAATACCACCAAATTACCGCCCTAAAACTTGGAGAGCTGGTAGAAACACTGACATGTACATGTAGGCGAGGTGGGATAGAGTGACTTAAGATAAAATTTATCTTCCTTATTAATACATACCGCCTATACCACCAAAACCCGATAAATTTGCTAGCCCCTGTGAGATCAAGGTTACTTTATGGGAAACTTCTGATGCAGATCGATACCATTCAACCAATCACTCGAGATGTAATCCCTGGACGGAGATAGCCAATTTTTTTTCGAGTTTTGGCGTACGTATATGTAGGTGCGCCCCCTCGTCAACTAAACCAACCAATCGATAACCACAATGCAAGCCTACAACGCCATTACTTCTGTGGCTAAATTCCAAATGATTTTCAGGTGACTTCGTGTGGCAAGACGTTCACTAAGCTTGCTGCATGATCCCGCTTCTTGTCGGACGAAAGCACCTCACCGGCGAGATAACCGGAAAACCCGCCGCGGGAATTTCAGATTGGAATATATATGTGCGTCCTCATAATTATCTCATTAATGACTGCTGCGCCTATTTTCATGCAGAAGGCTTAAGCTTAAATTTTGGTTTCCGCTTCTAATCATAGTGAGACATTAATACCATGGAATTTATGTTCATTCAAAATCCATTCCTTACCACGAGGCGGCCCATGATTATATATACTTCACACGGGATAGTTTTTGTATCACAATTTAGTATACCCAGTGGGTCAAGCGGTCTCGAAGCTAGCAAAGTGAGTGGTCCCCTCTATTCTCTACAAGTATACATATACGTATGCACATGATTGATGTATACATGTAGATAAGGCCGGTGGATTAAAGATGCAGGGTGTGGTAACCACTTGCATGCATCGGCAAATACATCGGGTTTCGCGTTTTCAATTATAAAAGATGCCTATTATTCCCACTGGTCAAGGTTTAACTACCGAGTCTACTGAGATATGCATATGTTGTAACTTGGAGGCTCCGCTAGGGTGGTGCAAACCGCGATAGAGTTCTATAAACCCCTTTTGAAAAGAATTCACGCTTGAATTGAAGAATCGTTAGGACGTAACACACTTTTTCTATTTCGGAACAAGAAGGTGCTAATCATCAACATACGTGTCTCTAGGTCCAGTAGTTCTCCACAGTCCATTTGAATCTTATCAAGCCATACTAGTGCGGGTGTAAGCGCAACTAAGCAAGTATAACATGCCGCCATCTGTTACTCTAATCTCTTTTATGCTGGGTGAGACTGCTCGCATACATGTATCAACCAAGACTACACAGAATCATTAAGGCCTACTAAGATGGTTCCTCGAATCCCTGAGCACTTTTTAGATAAGCTTAAACTGCTTCAGTTTATGACCAATTAAAGGGATTGGAAGATCTTCTAATGCATTACCAGATGCATTACCAGATGACTCATAGACGAACAGGAATCATAAAGTATCACTCGGTGTGTTTGTGTACCTGGCCTTGGCGCCAAGGGACAATGCGATATTTTTTCTATAACACCAATACAAATGCGCCTGAAGATACATCTGTTTCTTGTTTTCTATTGAGAGAGACAATGGGTGGGGAGTATGTGGAAGTAGGATTGACCTCCGGGAGCTGGGTCAACATTCAAAGCGGAGTAAAAAATGCTGTTTGGTGAGCCTATCTTTGTCCTTGGCCTTGCTTGGGTATCTCGTTAATATATGGACAGAATACATTTTAGGTACTTGTGATGCGTCTGGCCAGGAACCATAATAGTCACCATAAACGGAATTGATATATATAATGTATATCTCTGATATTAAACTCCATTCACAACCATACAAGGACATACCAGGAACATCTGATTATGTAAGAAAAAGGCAAATCATTATTTAGCAAGGAACGCATCGTGTTCCCGAGAAATCCGGCGATTGAGGAAAGAGGCCAAAAATGACGCGAATGGATGGAAGCAGAAGAAGAGAGATCTCCAGTTCGTTTCTGCCTTTAACCACTTTTTACAGCACTCACCCCGCGTGGTAACCTTAGACTATTATCCTACTTCATAATCCCTGACAGCCGTTGTACCCGTCGATAGAGAAGAGTGTATCACCCACTCGCCTGCATATCAGCATATATATTACCCGACGCGAAGCTTAATCGGACCACAGATCTCGGTTTACTATTGTCCGGGGCCCGTCGGTACCTCGCTGATTGCACGGAAAGACGGCGGAGAAGAAGTGAGCGAGGATGGAGCTAGGATGCAGATCTCTAATATATCTTTAATATATCTCTGTAGTGTATCGGGCCAGGAACTAAAGGGGAGAGCACTATAAAATACCTAGCAACACCCCTCCAATGCGTCTCATAATGAGAGAGCTCTTCCTAGAGTCACGGATCAAATACCTGCCCGCAGGAACATTACCTTCACGATGAAGCTCACAATACTCACTCCCCTACTGTTCCTCCCTAGCATTCTGGCAATAACAGTAACTCCCTACCCCAAACACCCCAAAAAGCCCCGTTACACCTCCACTCCACGTACGTCAAAGATCTGTACAGTCCCCAGCGGCGAGACGGATTCCGCCGCCTCTATTCTCGCCGCCGCACACTCCTGCAACAATGGCGGCACTATTGTCTTCTCGCCAAACAAAACTTACACCATCGGGACAGCCTTGGATTTAACCTTCCTCTCCCACGTTGACCTCGACATCCAGGGGACTATCCTTGTAAGACTGCATCCCTCCGCGACCCTAATAAGAAAGTAACATTAACAGTACCCCAGTTCTCAAACGATACCGACTACTGGAACGCCAATGCCTTCTACCTTACCTTCCAGAATGCCACCACATTCTGGCAGATTGGCGGCGAGGACGTCAACATCTACGGCGGCGGCACGCTCAACGGCAACGGCCAAGTATGGTATGACAAGTACGCCAAGGACATCTACATTCTGCGCCCGATCCTTCTCGGTATCGTCGGCTTGACCGGCGGCAGCGTCAGCAACATCAACATGCGCTTCTCCCCGCAGTGGTTCAACATTATCGTAAACTCCACCGACGTCGTCTACGACCACATCTCCATCTCCGGCGGCACAAATAACGCCAATCCAGCCAAGAATACGGACGGCTGGGACACGTATCGCTCCTCGGCCATCACGATCCAGAACAGCGTAATCAACAATGGCGACGACTGCGTCTCGTTTAAGCCGAATAGCACCGACATCGTGGTGCAGGGGCTAGACTGCACGGGGTCCCACGGCATTAGTGTCGGGTCGCTGGGTCAGTATCCGGGTGAGTATGATATTGTAGAGGATATATACGTGTATAACATCAGCATGACCTCTGCGTCGGACGGCGCGCGCATCAAAGTGTGGCCTGGGACGCAGTCGGCGCTGAGTGGTGACCTGCAGGGCGGTGGTGGGAGGGGCCATGTGAAGAATGTGACGTATGATACATTTGGAAACCACAAGAACGATTATGCCATCCAGGTCACGCAGTGCTACGGACAGAAGAACAAGACTCTATGCGAACTGTACCCTGTACGCTCCCCCTCCCTCCCTACTACAGTACAAGAAACTAACCATAGCAATAGAGCGAACTTACCATCTCGGACATCTATTTCAAGAACTTCTACGGAACCACATCATCGAAATATGATCCTACCGCTGGTACTGTAGTGTGCTCTTCGCCAACGGTGTGCAGCAAAATATATGCCGAGAACATCACGGTCACGCCGCCCAGTGGCAAGGCCGCGGTTTATACTTGCTCTAATGTAAGATCTCCTGTCATTACGAACACTGCCATTACATGAGGACGGTTAGACTGATGATTGCGTGCGTGTGTAGGTTAATGTGACTCAGTTGGGATTGCCGTGTGCATAGATGGATGGGAAAGGGATCGAACCCTAACCCATGATCGAGTGAGATATTATGACTGAATTCAGGTTTTTTTTGTTGAGCTATTTATGTTTAGAGGTGCTATTGCGCAATAGAGAAAAGATTATTCAGCTCTTTACTAGATACCGGCCAAGCCGCCGCGATGGTTTGTTATCCGTAACTGTTACTCGTCGTACTAGTGTATCTTGTCACAAGAGAGAAAAAATATTTGATATCCAACTTCCCACGGGACCCCAAAAGATTCTGTTTGAGAAGGCCAAGAAATCCAGGGCGTTTCGTCCGTTCGTATTTCGGTGGTTGTGATAGACCGGGACAAAACCATGTAGACCAAGAAATGGGCTACCAAGACCTGGTGTTTAAACCAGAAGCGTCAAATTAAGTCTTGAGTCAACGCAAAATTAGTCTATACATATGCTGCTTGTAAGTATTCCAAGCTTGAGGGCGGGGCGAGTTTGCTCCTCTGTGTAGTGATAACGATAAATTTGTCGAGGATGTATACACTTACAACACCTCATTATACGTTTAGCTTCAGCATAATGCCTATTCACTTGTTTCCAGACCGTACACCAATGAATGAAACAAAAATAAAAAATAAAAGATAGAATCATGAAGTATCACTCGATGTCTAGACCCGTGCCCCCAAACCCGCTGACTACCTTCTCAAAGTCATGTTCCAAATCGCTGAGCTCTTTTCTCCCTTTTAGAGCGGGTTTGGAATAAGCTAAAATATTCATTAACACGCTCTCGGACTCGAGTACTTACTAACGTGCAAGTTTGATATCGAATATGCATAGCCAGAACACTTCGATACAACAGCCCCTCTTGCCCCACAAAGCCTCGGCCGCGATGAATTCAGTCCAACAAACTCTTAAAATCTACTCGGAATGTAGTCTTGGGGGGCCCTCCGACCGAATCTCATAGATGTTATTCGGTCAGAGATTCCATTTATTCAGCCACGACTGGTCCGAAGCAGCCGTGTCAGGACCGCCTGCCCGGCCAGAGGCTTTGTAAATGGTTCTGCCTATTGCTGGTTAGAAAAAATATATCTGACCCTACAAAGCTAATGGCTAAAGCTATGGTATTTGTGTTGAGTTTCATTCTTCGCTTCTAGTGACGTCGTAGAGCTCGGACCAGGCCGGATTAGGTATGGATAGAGCAGGGTTCCTACTATCCAGTCCTTGCGCGCGGGCTGTAATAAGTTCGGTCGTCCACTAATGCTGGCGTATAAACCTACATGTGCTCCCGACTAGCTAAATTATATATTCCCAACACCCGGAGTGCGCGATGGCCCTCGAAGATTCCCTAGACCTTCAGCACGATAGCTCTGGAAAGAGCACTTTCACTCGGCCACATCCATCTATAGCAGCGTAGAGATGAACCGTACAAGTCAGTCAACCGACCGCTTTCACTCGAGCTGTCGGGGATGTGGCACTGCATCACAAACGCAATCAGCAGTAGGGTAGATGACAACTTCCATGCCCACACAGCGGCACAGCTCATGACGAGCTTCCGGCCAGCCGGGTTGAGGAGGCCTGTCCTTTACTTTCCGACGCCTATTCTCCGCACCACAGAAACCCAGCCGGACCACCTGGCCAGACCGCTACCGACAACCTGTAGCATCCGTCGTCTCGGACAAGTAGTACGAGGGGAAGGAGGAGGTGAGGTAGTGGTAGTACATCGACGTGTCCAATATCACCCCACCCTCCAATCTAGCTAACCCACACGCATTACAGAAGGGAACCAGCTCCGGTAACGTGCTGATGAGTAAAGACATAACTAAATGTACCGTGCCAGGCCAGCTACCTACGTAGAAGCGACAACCACCTGGCTCAATATCTTGAAACATCAACGCTCCTCTCCGATATTCTGAGGCTAGCTCCAGTGTTAACGTTTATAGCTTAGAATACCACGTTTGTGTCCGTAACCACCCCACCATTCGGGATCCGGCAACCATGTGGGATCCTGTACCGTGGTTTTGCACGGATATATTTGGGTGGGTGGGGTGGTGGGGTGGGGTATAACTAACGAGAGTGGGGGGAGATGGAGGGGGAGGGGGGTTATTCCTGTAGAGGATTTGGGGCGGAGTGGGATTAGGGTTGGGGTTTGCTATATATTATAGGAGTTCGATCGATCTTCCTTCTAAGATTAGATATATTCGTGAGGTGGAAGCTATACAGGTTTGTGGGGGTGGGGGGGAGGGTGGGGAGCTTGAGATATATTGAACCTACTACATACGGTTTACAGTTCCTAGGATGTATTGCGCTGGCATAGCACGCATTGGAGAGTGCCGGATAGGTACTTCCTTGGTACACTACACGATAACATGGGAAGCATCGCGATCCTACTTGTAGCTATACGGGTACGTATAAGTACATGTAAGTAACTATACGGCAGAGACAAGAATAGGGCGTACATAGAAGGTGAATAGAACACATGGGGGTAAGTAAACGTTTCAGATAGAGGTCGAAAATCTACCGTTTCAGTGATCCGGTACGTTTGCAAACTCACGTGTGTGGCCCGGACATGCAGAATTCTCGCCTATGTATCCTGTAGCGGACTCAACCTTCTAGATTTTTCCCTGATACGCATCCCCATCGAGGTTTTTTCGGGGACGTTGAAATAAACACTGTTTGCTCGTACAGATATTCTGTTCTGAAACAACACAGCCTCTCTACTAATTTTGGATGGTGCTGCATGCATACATATGCATATCATTGATCGCGGGGAAAAAAGTGCAACCTTGAACCGTGGTCAACTGAAACATGGGGTCACCGTAGTTAATTTGTGCACTGTTCATTCGCTAGAAAAAATAAAAAACCTACCGGGCGAAGAGAGTCAATCATCTTTCAGGCAACTAATTGTTTACGTCAAATGTCTCATTTTCCCTGTACTCAGATGTCCGCTTATCTCCCCGTAGCCCAGAGACCAATGAGCATTGCTCGCATAATATCTGCATCACGCTGCATAAGTATCTATGTAAGAAACTAATTCAAACCTTAACTTCAAATGTTTTGGTCTTGCGGCAATCATCATGCACAACCGCATGAACTCTGAAACGACGCTGCACAATCGTTATCGATTACAGCATGTCCATCTCTCCATCCGGACTTTCATTGCGCCGCACATTGCCGCCGAACCCATCACCGGCGCAGGGCGGCGAAGCCAATCGAATGGTTTATCCGGCTGCATAAGATAATAAGCTATCAATATGCGGTGGTGTCCTTGTAAGCCGCATTTGCGGCCACAATTTGGTTTTGCGACCGGAGGAGGAACTGATTCAGACGGTGGACTGGAATGTGTGCTCTCTGTTTGGTGAGATTTTCAGCCCTTGGGTTAGGGTCGGGGATGATGTTTTCGTTGAGATTAGTCCTACCATAATATCCGCGTGAGTTACTCCATGCCCGCCCCCAACGTGATCCTCTTACTCGAACGTCGGTCTCATATCATCTTGTCGTGATACCCAACGGAGCAGAGTCCGCAGCGTTTTCTTCATGTGCTGACCCTTTTAGTAAGACAGGCCAATCAAGTAATTAAGAGGGATGACCATAGGCTCAATCCGGAATTACAAGACTCGCACTGACTGCCATCGATCGGTAAGGCACCTGAGGCATTATCCGCAGACAGGGCTGCAGGGATATATATGCGACCAAATTTATTGACCAGGGAGGGGGGTGTAACTAGAAGTAGAAATGTATTTTTAGTATTATTACCAACAATCTTTTCGATACTTGAGCTCTGTTTCCCATGGCAGAATCGCATGTTGAGAAGGATTTTCGATGTCTTACTTTTAGATTTCTTAATTTCTCGTCGGCTTGGATGAAGTACTAGTCGATTAGTACAATTTCCAAAATGAGGATTGCACGCCATAGCCTTCCAAAAGGCTGGATTTGGCTAACTATTCCATTGCATCCTAGACAAGCGCGCCTGTTTGCTTTACTCTAGAGTACTGTTCTCACAAACTCCGTGAAAATGCTTTGGGGCCCGGGAAACTCTTCAGGCGCCATGAGCTTAATTCTGCACGCCCTACCTATCGATACACAGGCAGGGATAAAAATCTTCTTTCGCAGGAGAATAATATGTGTGTACTGAACTGGTTCAGACACCGGTATGCACTATTGCACCATCAATAAATCATAAATTAATTACTCCAACTTTTCATTCCCATAGAGTGACTGACTGACTGTCCTTCTATGCCTTAGCTAGTGACCGGGTGTGATATTTGACCATCACATCACCCCACCCATATTGACCACCATGTTAATAAGATTTCGGTAACGAGGCTGTGGGGCACAACATTAGAGCAACTTCCCAATTAAGATGATTAAAGTTGGTACCGGTAGAGCACTAACCATTAGTGATGCGCGCATGAATATTTAATCCATACTGACCCGTTGTGGGCACGCACCCCTGCTAGACATTACGGCGCAGCTCTACCGAGCCGCACAGCCCAACGAAATCGATCAATTAATGTAACGAGTGAAAGTCTATATGAATTGACGAGCCTGCATCTGTTTTCCCCCACTCCATCCACCAGATCAGTATCAATCGTTCGTTACAGCTAAAGCCAAATAAAAACCGCTTTAAACACAACAAACAATATACCCTTCAATGTCAAAGATGCCGTCCCTCACTCGCTCCCTCTCCAATGTCTTCCGTGGTGGAAACCGCAGTCGTTCCTCATCCTCCGTCTCGAGTGGACCAGAATCTCCTGTTCAAAGTACTACTGTTAGCGCTTCATACAGCTATGGAAACCATCTTGCTGTGATGCTCCCTCCTTCACCTCCACCGGCCGATATTCCGGCTCCTCCTCCACCATCATATGCTAGTCTGCAAAGACCATGCCTCTTCATTTGAGCATGCGGACGAGAACTGTCGCTACAATCATTGCGCAACACGATTAGCCCACAATTGAGCTGGCCAGGCCATTCGCTTGCATCTCGAGAAACATTACAAGTCAGCTCAAACGGCAAAGAGTTTTCAGAATT